GGAGGAACCCCAGGATGTCCAGGAGCTGTGGTGGCAGTTCCTCATGTGCCCTGCAGGTGAACTGCAGCCCTTTGCTGCTGGAGCAGGGCCCACGGGGTGATTCCCTTCTTTGAGGGAAGGAGGCCAGGGAGCCACATAGGACAGCTGCTGGATTGTGGCAGGTAGAATGTGGAATATTTTAAAATATCCCATAAAATGATACCAAATGTGCATTTCCTCTGTGGATTTTCTGCATGTGCTGCAGTCAGTGGTTACACTGAGGGGGCACAACTCGGGGGGGGTTATTTTACCATTTCTGAGGAGGCTCAAAGGCCAAACCCCGAGCAGCAAAGTCAGGAAGCAGGACAGAGGAGAGACGTGGAGACAGACGGTGTCTGGGGCTGGAAGGGAAGGTGAAACATCCACATCTGCCCGTCAGGACAGAGCTGTGACTCCCTTGGGAAGAGGAACCAAAGGCAGCTGGGGGCTGAGAGAGCCCCTGCCTGCCGAGCTCCTGCCTGTGTTCCCTGGCCCAGTGTGCCCAGACAGAACAGGGATTCTGTGCATGAGAGGCTGGGAAGGGTTTTCCAAAGCCTCTCCAAATTTCACCCATGAGTCTGAGATACAAGACAGCGGTTTGGAAAAACACTGACAGCAAAGTCAGCTGCAGCGTCAGGAAACATCCCAGCAGGGAAAAATGTGTCGTGCCACGTCTGTGTGGAAGGTGTCAGCTGGGAAATAGGTGGGAAAAGTATTCCCTTGGTCTGGGAGGGGTCCCAGTGCCAGCCCCAGAGGTTCTGTGAAGCCTTACAGAGTGAACTCTGGAATGGCAGTTGGGTTTTAGTTTGAGGTGTTGGCAGGAGGAGTCTCAGAGCCACAGTGTGAGTGGAGCAGGCTCTGAAGGCAGTCAGCCTGTGGAGCGGGGGGCACCGCAGCCCCAGGGTCCCCACTGCAGCACGCCCTGGGGAGCTGCAGCTGGGTGCTCGCTCAGAGGTCACATCAGGGCTGCTCCGAGGGTCTGAGCTGTAACTGACCTGTGGTTTCATTGCAGATGATGAGGAGCGAGACCTGCAGAACGACCTGGGGGACTACAAGTCCCGCTTCAGCGATGGGGTCCTGTAGGCCTGGGGCACAGACAGCCCAACCCAGGGACTTGAGGTGCTGCAAAACTGAACCAGTTCTACTCCAGTGTTTCCTACTTCCAAGGGAGCTGAGAATGAAGTGCCGAGTGTGCTCAGTCAGCAGGTGAAGAGGACCCACTGTACATATGTACATACTTGTACTACTGCAGGTTGTGTTAAACCAGCGTTGTCACACGGAGCCGGTTGCTCAGCCTGGTCCTTATCTGAAATAATCTTTACACTTAAGCCCAGTCTGTGAACACAGGCTGAACTGTTTCTGCCATTTACAACACTTTGGAACCTGGAGAACTTGTACAGTTTGTACCTGATGTAACAAAGCCGCTGTGGAAGCCATGTACAGCCAAGGACTCCTTTTCTACAGCCCCACCTGTGTGGGCAGAACTGCTGCTCCCGAGTGCTGGGTTTGTCCAGCAGGTGAGCCACGAGCTGGGAATGAGACCTGAAGGGTTCAATAGCTGCTCCCTCCTCAGCGTGACCCAGGCCGGGGCAGCCTCGGCACCATCGCCACTCAGCTCCTGTACAGTGACCACATCTCGTAGCTAGAGCTGCAAATCTATAGTAGGACTTCAGTAATTTGGTACATCCCCAAAAAGTTGTGCAACTAATAGCTTGATTTAAAAGATATAAATTGATATAAATAATTATAAATAATTCACAGCTTGTAGGAGATCTTTGTGTTAAAGAGAGCAAGGGTGTGAGTGAGAGACACGTGTGTGCAGCTGTGTCTGCCGTCCACAGAAGGACCAACCAGCCCCTCCCTGGGTTCACTGCTGGTGTGCTGTGCCAGGGTGTCCAGCCCAGGTGCAGTTTGATCCCTTGCTGCGGCTCTGAACACCTGCCACGGCCCACGGTCTGCTTTCCTCCATCGGATCTGTAAGTCAGACCCTTCTCTGTGTTCTGTGTTCAAGTACTGTCGGAATTACGGGGATGATTCCATGTCTCTGCAGTGTGGGAACGAAGGGGATTGCTCCTCCAAGGGCTCCTGGGGACACAGGCTGTAGGCACTGACGAGGGGGACTGAACTCAGCCCTGTGCTCAGGTGCTGGGCTGGAGTAACGGGTCAGGTTTGCTCGTTGCCAGCTCAGTGAAACTCTTAAATAAAGTTCAACGCCTGTACAATGATTGGTGAGTTTTAAGACAATTTATTACTGCTAAAGTGTCAATGACAAAAAAAGCTGCTGCATTTAAAAAGTGAAGGTCCAGCTCAGTGCTGTGTTCTGGTTCAGTACCAGCCCAACCCAGTGTTGTCTGTAGTGCAGCATCACATGGCACAGCTTGGGAAGACCAGTAAACTAAAGAGCTACTTCTTTTCCAAAGCAGCAGCTCTCTTTTCCAAGCATGAACAGAAAAGATGAGTCCCTGTGGATTGGCAGGCCCCCCCTGCCCCTGGGCTGCGCGGCACCACGCGGGGTCTGAGGACCAGAAGCGACAAACCAGCTCGGGTTTGTTTTGAACGTGCAATTCCAACGTCCCTGTGCGGTTTGTGCGGAGCCAGTTCCCGTTTCCATGGCGATGGCAGCACACACAACGCTGACAGATCTCCAGCAGCTGCTTCCCTCAGCCCCCAGCGAGCCTGCAGTCAACTCGGGGCTCACAGGAGAGATCCAGCACAGCCCTTCACCCAACACCCCCAGAGCTCCACCGTGCATCCAGTCCTGGGGCTGAGGCTCCACTTGGAAAGCCCTTTGGATGCACAGGGATTTCAAACAGAGAGCTGAGATCCGGCTGCCAAGGCTGAGGGGCGAGTTCAGCCCCTGTGAGAAACACAGGCACCTGCACCAACAGCCAGAAAACAGCTCCAGTTATTCCAGCCAGTCCCAGCTGCCCAGTTTGGGAGGTTTTCAGCAAACACGCTGCTGAAGCTTTCCCAAAGTCCCACAGATCCCACAAAAACCAACTCATCAATGAACCCATTTTAGATTAAACACGAGGAAAACCAAACTGATGGGCAGGATCTCACCAAAAGGGAAAACCCAGTTCTGAATGAAACAAATTCAAACCCCACATTTTTCAGCGTTTTAATGGCTGCAAAGAGCCACTTCAAAGTGACAAGACACAGACAGACATGAGGTAAATGGTTTGGGGATTTTATTAAATGATGTTCTACATTTTCATGTAGGCAAACTCAGCAACAGTGGGGAACCCAAAGCCTGCAGGACAGAAGAGCTCAAGAGTGCTTTGCAAAAGAACCCACAGAAAGGGCAAAAGGTCTTCTCTGTAAATCTGTTTACTCTCCCTGTTTACAGTTTGCACCCTGGAGAAGAGCTGCATTGATCAGTACTAGTTTACTTAAAACAAGGGGTTTGATATCCCAACTTTTCATCAGGAACCATTTCACTGTTCACACAAGTCTGAAGAAATTCTCTGACACCTTTCTCCTTTCTCCCTGTTAAGGGGAATTTCAGCCTGCCATAAATCTGTCAGCTGCAATCCCTATTCCAGGGAGCTTTCAGTAACATGGGACCCAAGTATGGAACTTCCAGTTAAAGTAACCTGGGACCCTTCCTTGAGGAGACTGACCAAAATATTTAATAGGATCAAAAATCTTGCTGTGATGAACTAGCAAATGAGAGATTGGGCACTTTATATGGAGAGGGAGCACAGTGTCCTGCTGTTCCAGCTGGCTCCAGGACTGAGGAGACCAGATTCCTGTCGTTTAAATAAAAGAGGAAAACAAACCCACAAAACCAATCGGGGGCATCTCTCCCTATTTATTAGAGTGCAGTGGAATTTTCGAGCCCGCCAGAAACACAGTAATCATATTTATGCCTGAACTTCTTCCTGCCAACACAGAAACCAGAATACTCCAATTCCTCAACCTATAGCAAACCCTAAGTAGCCACACTGGGATTACTGGTAGGGATAATCTACAGTTTAGCTTCCCAAAAGAGGGCCTGGCCACCCGTGGCTGCGCAGTTCCATCCCTGGAGGAACGTCTCGTGCCCCTCTCAGTGCTGCACTGTGCCAGATCAAACACAAGGTTCATTCCCATGTGTTTCTGTGGGGATCTGGGAGCAGATGAATCCCTGTTGCTGTCAGCTGGAGTGTCAGCAGTGAGAACAGTGAGTCTGGAGCTGCTCCTGGACAGCCAGATTGGCTCCCAGACATTGGGGATGGAGGAGCAGCACAGCCTGGGAGCTGCCTTTCATTTAACTCACATGCACGGATGGCTTTGATTCCCTTCAGATAAGCAAAAGAAACAACACTGGAAATGGGCAATAGTAAAATATAAACCCAAACAAGAATTGGTTGGTTTCTACAACCCTCTCTCAGTCCTTTTCACAGTTGTTTTTACCTTGGCAAAATAAACTTGACTGAGCTCCAGTGCTCGGGGTTCACGGTGTTACCTGCAAGAAGGGGGCTGGAATACCAGCGAGAATCATGGAATAGTTTGGGCTTTGAGGTCCCTTCCCACCCTCTCCCTAACTCAGCACCGAGGCACACGAGGAGAGCACAAGACACTGTGGAAAACATATTTTGATATCCTGTAACACAGAAAAGTACAGTTCTCACTGCCAAAAAGATCAGTTTGAACCCTGAGTCACACATTTAATGTCTTCCCAGCGTGTTTTTGGCCGTGCTGGTGCTCTCACAAATACCTGCTTGCTTTGACTCTTGCTAGATGATCTCCTCTGGCAGCTCATTTCATTTTAATTACATGGCTTGAGAGAGTATTTCCACCCACCATTTCCCAAAACTCCCACTTTCTAAGTATCAGTGAATGTCCTTTTGGGCTCACAGCATGAGACATCACACAGTTATCCTGCCATACTAGTTCCTCCTAAGAAACTGCCAAACGGTGTTAATTAAGCTTTAACATGTCCAAACGAACCTTTTTCACAGCTGATCATTCACAAAATATTCATGTACTGTTGTTACACTAGAGTCCTGTGACAGAATTCTAAAACAGATCTTGGCTTCACAGCAGCACATGTAGTTCTGTTTAACAAGCCAGTAAATATTTTAGGTGACTAGAGAGCTGGGATTTTATAATCTGATCCAGGTACAAAAGGTAAGCAGGGAGTCCACAGGTACCAGGAAAGGAAACAACACCTGTGTGGGTTTCTCTGCTGCTAAATTAGACGATGTGGATGCCAGCTACTCTTATAAAAACATTCTGTTCTGAGCAATACCGTGAGAACTTACCCTGTCATAACACAGGTTAACCTGAGAACTGAAGATTCCTGTTTAAGAGACTGGGGAGTAAAAGTGATCATCAAGGGAAAAGTGAAGATATCCAGGATCAGCAGCATAGAAACGATAAATGTAACCTCACTACATCCTCCTATACTGCATGAGATGGTCAGGCTGCTTCATTAAGCCACTCAGATATCAACACATGCAGCGTCCTCAGCATTTCGCACCCAAAGAGGCTGCCTAGAAAAAGGAAAAGGGAAAGTGGAAATAAAACTTCGCACCAGGGGACTTAAAACAGCAACCGAAACCACAAGCCAGCAGTGCCCTGCGCTCTGGGGACGGGTCAGGCTGGGCGAGCCCCGGGCAAAGGGCCCGGCCCGGCCCCGGGAGCGCCCGCCGGTGCCGCGGGGGGCACGGCTGGGGCTGGGCCGGGGCTGGGCCGCGCGATGGGCCCCGGGCAGCGCCGCGATCCCGGGCACAGCCGCTCGTCCCCCCGGCGGCCGCGGCGTCCCCTCACACCGCCCCTTCCCCTGCGCTCCCTCCTTTCCCTCCATCCCCCCCGCTCGCGCTCCCCTCAGCGCTCCCGCTCCCCCCTCACCTCAGGGCGAGGCGGCTCAGCCCGGCCCGGCCCGGCCCGGAGCCAACACCGCTCAGCAGCGGCCGCCGCCTGATCCGCGCGAGGCCGCTGGGCCGGGGCGCCTGAGGCGGCTGCCGGTGCCGTTCCCGGTGCGGCTCCCGGTGCGGCTCCCGGTGCCGATCCCGGGGCCGTTCCCGTCCCGTTCCCCGGCCCGCTCCCCCTCCCGGCCCGCTCCGCTCGCTGCCGGCCTGCCCTGCCGGGCCCGCCCCCCGGCGGGTGCGCGTGCGCGGCGGGCGCTGCCATCCGGGTCCCTCGGTGCGGTGCAGCGGGTCGGTAGGCGGGAAATGGCGACTGAGCGCTGAGCGCCGAGCGCCCCGAGCGCGGACCCGCCGCCCGCGCCCCCCGCCCGCCCGCGCCCGGCCGCGCCCGCGGGCCCCGCCGCGCCGCCCCCCGGCCCCGCTCCCGCAGGTGAGTGACGCGGCCGAGCCCCCCGCGGGTCCCGGCGCGGGATCAGGTGGGGGGCGCGGGGTGGCCGCCCCGAGTGACCGGCGGGATGTCCCCTCGGGGCCCGCCCGCGCCGGGCCCCGCCGCCCGCCCGCCACCCCCGCGGCCCCCGCCCGGCGCCGCGGCCCCGCGGAGCGCGGGCAGCCGCGGCCGCAGCCCCGGCGGGCCGGCCCTGGCGCGGGGAGCGGCGGAGCGGTGTCACCCCGCCTGACACCCCCCGCCCGCCCCGCCAGGCCGAGGCCTGCGGCGGGTCCCGGGGCCGGGCCGGGGCCGCAGCGCCGCGGGCGCAGCGCGGGCCGAGCCCGCGGGTCCCGCGCAGGACGCGCCTGTTGCTGGTGTTGTTGTGGCCGCCGGACGCGCCTGTCACCGGCCCCGGGGAAGGGACGGGTGCGTGTCCCGCTCCCCCCGCGGCTGCCCGCTCGGGCTGCCCGGGCACGGCCCCGCGGGCGGCTCGGCGGCGGCGGCAGCGCCGGGCTCGGGGGACGCCGAGTTCGCGGCTGTCAGAGGCGGCGGGGGCGGCGGCTCCGAGCGGGACCCCCGCCGCCCCGAGCCGTGCTGGGCATCGCCGGCCCCTGCTGGGAAGGCGGCGGGAGGAATTAGCGTGCTGCATACCACATTGATTATCTGCCCGCTCCGCGTTACTGGAGAGCACTGTACGAGCCTGTTGCTCAATTTTATGGTACTTGAGAGCACTCGAGAGGACAGGTCTGACTGTTTCTGTGTGGCTTTTCTGGTGAGCTCTAGCCTAGGTCTGCCTGGGGTATTTCTTTCTCTGCGGTGACGATTGTGGTGTTTTTTAATGATCCCGAGCTTATTGTTTCTGGGAGGGATTTTTCATCATCTTCCAGTTGAGTATGGTGCACTTCTAAAAGTAATTTGGAGTTTGTCATTGTTGTCTTTGCCTTTCTTGATCCGTTTCCACTGTTAGACTAGTCCGTGAAGAGGATCTCTAAGTATAACTATTACCCTGTTGCCTTGGGCGAGTGACAACCTCTTTTGCCGTTTCTCTATGAGTAAAATGGGGATAATAATACCTTGGAGAGTTGTTACAAGAAGTAGTTAATGTTTGTAGAGGACTTAAAAGACCTAAGTGTTATTAATTAAGCCCCATGACACATTAAGGTAAGAGTTAGCGAGCCAGGTTTACACATGGATGAACTGAGGCAGGAAGAGATTATGATTTAGCCAGAGTAACGTCCTGGATCTGTGACAATAGCAGAAAACAAGTTGTAACTACTTCATGCTGTAGGCACAAGCAAACGGTTCCGGATAACAGATAGGATTCCAAGATTGCTGGCCCCTCCCTCACCCCCTCTCCCAATTTCAGGCTTTTCTGCTTTAGGAGGTTCTGCCTGTGTGACTTCCAGTTGACTGGAGAGCTCCAAGGACACTTGTGGCTTGCCCACTTAAAAGTGTTTCAGCAGTTTTCATAACAAGATATATGTTCTAGGATGCAAGCCAAATCCCGACTTAAATTCCATGAAACATTCTCCACTTTTCCCCTGAAAACATCGTGTGGAACTTAGTTAAGACTTGATCTTGTTCCAGTCGGTGCAGAATGAACCAAAGCTGACATTCCTGTTTCGTCGAAGTTCTTTATTACAGAGAAAATTCCCCTGTCAGTCTGTCCCAGAGATTGAATGGGACAGTTGGATCATTTTTCTAGGAATGTAAACATTCCACATATGCTGGGGCTGTACGTGCATTTCATCATTTAAAGGTGATTTTCCATCCTCAGCCTCGCTCCGCAAGTGTTGGTAACTCCTTTCCGAGGTGGTGATTGCCCAGCACAGGGATGTGACACTGGCAGAGGCCCAGGAGCATTAAAGCAGTTCAGAAACCAGAAAAAGTCTTCTGAATTCAAAAGGAAACCGAGTCTTCGCCGTCCCAAGTTTTTCCGCGTGTCACTGGCTTTTCTTTTCTTTGATCTCTTGTGATGCTGGGAGGTTGACACCAACAGAAATAATGTTTGCAGGAGGCTTTAGGAATCACATTTGCTCTTCTGACACGTTTCTATGCGCGTATTTTGTTCCCATGGAAGAAACTTTTTCGCAGGTGTAAGTGGTGGAATAACCTGGAACGCTTGCACATTTTTGTAAAAACCATTCTGAAAGTCAAACTGAAGTATTTTGGCAAGAACTTGCAAGAAAAGCTTGAGCAAGGGGGTTGGACAAGAGAAACTCCAGAGTTCCCTTCCAACCTCAACCATTCTGGGAGTCTGTAAAAGCAGGATGCATCAAGTAGGACTGGAATTTGACAGGAATTTTAAATTACTGTGTATTTCTAGACATGTGTGTGCTCTGGCAGAAGCTGGAGGCTTCTTGCCCTTTTGGGAGAGTAATTGGGGTTCCCAAGTAACCACAGAGCATCACTGTGGTCGTTTTGGGGTCACAGCTGAAGCCGGTGTAGTTGCATAACCCTAAAACCTCCTTTTCCAGGTTATGGGATTGCAGCTCTTCCCTGTCCAAACCCTGTAGAAGTTCATCCCATTCCATGTGTTTTCAGCCTGCTTTCCCTAGGGAAGCCAGTTCCTGTGTGTGATGGGGTTTGGACTTTGATGTCAGCTTAGGACTACTAAGATCCTCCCAGATTTACAGGCACCCCCCTCCCACCTGCGCTCCCCCTGTGACTGCATCCTTATCCCATCCTTATTCCATCCTTATTCCATCCTTATTCCATCCTTATCCCATCCTTATCCCATCCTTATTCCATCCTTATTCCATCCTTATCCCATCCTTATCCCATCCTTATTCCATCCTTATTCCATCCTTTCTCAGGGTCATTCCTTTCCACCAGTGCCTTTCCCGTTCATTAGTGTGAGTAGATCAGATATGATGATTCTTACTCCTCTCAGCCCAGAAAGTAGGGGACCAAACCTGGATGAGATCCCATCCCTTGCTGGCAGCTCACCTCGGCACCGAAGCCTTGGCACCACATCCTGGGCGTTTGGAATGAAAATTGGTTTTCGTGTGCTGTGTGTGAAGAGGTCCTGCAGTGCTGCCTCCAGCTCTGGGGTCCCCAGCACAGGGAGGAGGCACCAGGGTGGCGCAGGGCTGGAGCACCTGTGCTGTGAGGAAAGGCTGAGAGGATTGGGATTGTTCACCCGGAGAGGAGAAGGCCAATTGCGGCCTGAAGGAACCGACAGGAAGGATGGAGAGAGACTGTTGATGAGGGCCTGGAGTGCCAGGACAAGAGGGAATGGTGTCACTCTGCCAGAGGCCGGGGTCAGATGGAGTATTGGGAAGAAATTGTTCCCTGTGAGGGTGGGCAGGCCCTGGCACAGGGTGCCCAGAGAAGCTGTGGCTGCCCCTGGATCCCTGGAAGTGTCCAAGGCCAGGTTAGATGGGGCTTGGAGCAGCCTGGGCTGGTGGAAGGTGTCCCTGCCCATGGCAGGGGGTGATATTTGTTTGGATTTGGTGTTTGTCCATCCCAGTGAAATCCTCCCAAAATGCAGGTGTGCACACCCCGAGTGCAGAGCTGGGGAATCGAATGCACCAAGGGTTGTGATTGTTAGGGGCAGACTGTTCAGATGGAATCATTGCTGTGATGCTGGGAGGGAAGAGCAAAGCTCTCAGCAGCTGGTTGGAGAGGAGCTCTCCCAGGCAGGATGTGACAGTGCCAGCCCTGCGGAGAGCTCTGTCCCGGGGGAATTCCCTCGAGTGCCGTTAGCTCAGCTCTGTGCGGCTCTCCCGATCGCTGGAGAGAAACTCCCATGCACCAGGTACTTGAAAGCCCATCTAACATGTTGTTTACGTGTTGAGATGCCTGGATGGCCATTATTTGGTGTTTTAGAAAAATAAATATTTGACATTCACAGACGAAGACATTTTCAATGGCTCTTGAAAAATTAAGTGGGAAATCATCCACATCTAACGCAATCAGCTCAGGGCTTGGGTCGGAGCTTCCCCCTTGGCACTCCTAACTTTTTCTAAACAGATTACTTCCCAATCAGATCAGTTTCAGTAATTACTTTGATTAAGGTCCTCTTAACTTCTGAAATGAGGAGTTCTTTGGTCGTATCCTGTGATCCAAGGAAAACCCTTGTCAGGACAAGCTGCTGTTAGAAGACAGGGAGTTGAGCATGATCCTGCAGTGTGCTTCCACCTCTGCCAGCAGTGTCCCCTGTGGGAGCTGAGGAGAGCCGGCCTCTCTTGCCTCGGTTTCCCTATCTGATGGATCAGTGCTTGTGGAAATCCTGGGATCTGTGGCCGAGCCCAGGGGAAGGAGCCGCTGGTGGACAGGATTCACTCGGATCAATTCATTCATTGATCTCTGCTGTGGTGACATTAAAAATACAGCTCCCCACGGGGAAAGTCCAGCCCCATCAGTGAGATTCCTGTGCATCCTGCTAAACATAACCCTCAAGCCAACATTTAGGAAGTGCCCGTCTGCTGCAGCAGATCCGGTGAGGATCCACTGCCCGCCGAGTGATGCGGCTGCTGGAATGACGTAGAGAGGGATGGCAGAAATCAAAGTGATCCCCAGCAGTCCTACCTTGTCTGACTTCACAGTTCCTTTCTGGTGGGTGAGGAATCCAGTCAGGAGTCACAAA